CCCCAAGAAATCTTCTAGTACCAACCCTACAGCAAAAAGGGTGAGAATTACTATTGATATGAAGAAAGAGATCATTGCTAAGTATGAAAGTGGAGTGCGTGTCTCCGAGCTGGCCAGGTTGTACACAAAACCCCAATCAACCATCGCTACTATTGTAGCCAAGAAAACGGCAATCAAGGAAGCTGTTCTTGCCAAAGGTGCAACTATGTTTTCGAAACTGAGATCGCAAGTACTCGAAGATGTTGAGAGACTGTTATTGGTGTGGATACACAAAAAACAGAAAGGCTAGGAAGTTGCATGACGATTTAATGAAAAAAATGCCAGCAACTAGTGGTGATGTGAGTGAATTTAAGGCCAGCAAAGGTTGGTTGAGAGATTTAAAGGGAAGGGAAGTAACCCCGGAAAAGGACTTGCCACCTCAATTCCTAATGGAAGGGGATTCCCCTTCTAAACACTAAGACCATCAACACTCTCCCCTCCTCCCATCCCAACAATCATCACCAGATCTTCAATAAAGGTAAGTGTCATGTAACTGTGCATGTCTTCTTCAGTTTGTGTGTATTAAAATTAATATTTCATGTGGGTTTTCTTCTATTTTCTTTCTAGTTCTTGTTCTTGTTTATTTTCTCTTATCTCCATGGGGAAGTGGAACAGAATTCTTCCTCTGTAAGCCATGCGTGTCGTAAGAGGCGGCTAAAATGCCGGGAGCAAGGGGCTTGTAACCCCTTCTCCTGTATAAATTACTAAATTTGAAAAGAGAAACTTTTGTTTTTCTTTTTGGGCCACCCTGCCTCGGTGGGATACGGCTGGTTTGTTGAAAAAAAAAAAAATTGAAAATATGTAAAAAAAACATAGATCTACTTTTGGAGCACTACGCATGTGAACGTAGATCTGCTTGGACAGTTTAAGGGTTAATCCAAGGAAGGAGAGGGTTACTCCAATGACTTGGATCTAGAAATGAGTAATATTTTTGCTAAAAATATCACAGAACTACAGCTCTGTTGCTAGCACACTCGACTCTCACACTGAGGTCCGTGGTGTGATCCCCTGTACAGGTGGAAACATTAGGGAGTGTTTCCTTAAGACACATACTGTCCCTGTTCACCTAGCAATAAATAGGTACCTGGGGGTTAGCCGTCTGGTGTGGGTCGCATCCTGTAGACAAAACCTAATTTGCCTGAAATGCTCTGCATAGCCAGGGGCTTTCTGTATATGTACTGTAATATGTCATTGATATTAACTAGGTTTGTATACATTGTACTTGTATTTGTAGATATAAAAATTACTGTTTTTATTATTATTGCCTATAAAAAATAGAAGAACAAATAACAAGAATAAACAGTAATTAACCTGTCCCTTAACTCGTATGTACAGTATGAGTATATTGTTAATGAGAGCCATTGAAAAATGGCCCGACAAAATGCTACATCCACAAGGGATGTACTATTTATCTTAGTTTTACTACACAAAGCATAATAAACATTTTTATGGTAGACTATTTCCTTTTACTTTATGTATACTATGTATATTATTAGGTAATTGTCGAGTATTAACATGACCACTCAGTGATATGAGTACGTATATAGGAATTTATTTTTACGATATCTGACAGATTCCTTCTAAGGTAGAGTGACCTATAGAAGGAAACCCATTCACTATTGCTCATTCAATGGCTGACTTGCTAGAAGTGTTCAGGCATCACAATTCAAATGACCCTCCAAACTACATTGTCCCTATCCATTCTTCAGGTAATGTAATACTATTCAGAATATCATGTTTAGTTAAAGTTCACTCAAAATTTTACATACCACTTAAGAATTTGTACAAAACCTTGGTATCATTGTATGCTCTTAATTTATAAAATGGCCCATATTTTGTATGTGAACAAATAGGGCATCAGAGGGAGAATAAATCTGGGGTGGGTGGAAGGAGGTGCAGAAGACATCCCAGGAAGGATTGGTGGGAATGTGCGAAAAAAAGTTGCATGGTAGCGGCTTCTCTAACCATGATGAACATGGGGAATATATAATAGCTAAATTCAAATCCAAATACCTACAAAAACCTCTCACATTGATAAACATCTACAGAGTTCCACAGTCAAACATTAGCCAATTTAGTCAAAACCTAGGAAGTATGATAACTGATGCACGCATGAACAAAGATCACTTACTACTCTCAGGTGACTTCAATATAAATCTCCTGCAAGACCAGGACCTACACGTTACTGAATTCACAAACACAATGAGTAACTGTATGTTACTACCAACAGTAACAAAACCTACAAGAGTTACAGAGACTAGTGTTTCCCTACTTGACCACATCTGGACCAACACCATATCCCTTTAAAATCAGGCATAATTACAGATAATACCACAGACCACTACCCTACTTTCCTCATAACAACTCTTGGTAAAACTACCCCAAGACACTACTAAAGTCACCTTCAGACTTCACAATGAGGCAGCCATTAATAACTTCACAACAGCAGTAGCAAACATTGATTGGCACACTGAGCTAGAAATCTATACAGATATTGACGAATGTATTAATAATTTTCTAAAAAAGACCCAATACCTCTATAACAAGCACTGCCCTAAAAAAACTAAACAGATGACAGCTAAGAGACTGAACAGTCCCTGGCTAACACCCAGCATTCTCAAATCCATAAATACAAAACACCAATATGAAAAACAGTACAGAATGGGTCACATAACCAGAGACCAAACAAAACGTTACTCGTCAATCCTAACCAGCCTGATAAGAAGGGCAAAAAAAATTGTATTATGAGAACAGATTATCCAACTTATTAGGTGATATAAAAAAGACCTGGAAAACTCTATCAGAAATTCTGGGAACAAAAAAGATATCACGAAATAGCGAAATAAAATTAGCAAAATCAGATGAACCCCAACCCCCACCAACAGAAACAGCAAACAGACTCAATGATTTCTTCTCCACTATAGGACAAAACCTTGCCAATAAAATCCCAAGCTCAGATACCCCACCAAATGACTACCTCACCGGCAACTACCCGAACACACTGTTCCTAGCTCCGACTAACCCATACGAAGTCTCCCTTATTATCAACGCACTAAAAAACAAGGCAGGAGATTTAAATACCTTACCACCCTTTATATACAAAAAACTGTCACAAGTGCTATCACCAATCATTGCAACACTCTTTAACAAATCCATAGAATCCTCCACCTTCCCTACAGTACTCAAAATAGCAAGGGTCACCCCGATCCACAAAGGAGGAGACCAAACAGAGTTGAATAACTATAGGCCAATATCCAACTTACACCCTCTCTCAAAAATCTTCGAAAAATTAATTCATAAACGAATCTACTCCTACCTTATCTCCCATAGCATACTCAACCCCTGCCAATTTGGATTCAGGCCTAATAAAAATACTAATGATGCTATTATACACATGCTAGAACATATATACACTGCAATAGAGAAAAAAGAAGTCCCACTGGGGATCTTCATTGACTTACGTAAAGCTTTTGATACAGTTGACCATGACTTGCTCCACGTAAAATTGTCACACTATGGTATAAGAGGGCACTCCCTCAACTACCTCAAGTCATACCTCAGCAACAGAAGCCAATATGTGTACGCAAATGGGGCAAACTCTTCTGCGCAACCAATTACAGTTGGTGTCCCACAGGGAAGTGTCCTGGCCCTCTTCTCTTTCTCCTATACATAAATGACCTTCCAAATGCTTCGCAATTACTCAAACCCACACTATTTACAGATGACACTACATACGTCTGCTCTCTCACCCGAGCCCAGTCACGCTAGCCAATACTGTAAATACCGAATTACAGAAAATATCTACCTGGATGAGGACTAACAAACTTGCACTAAACATTGACAAAACCTACTTCATTCAGTTTGGTAACAGAGCTACAGATGTCCCTCTTAACATAATGATAAACGGATCACCTATCACAAAGCTAACAGAGGGAAAATTCTTAGGAATCCACCTTGATAATAGACTCAAATTTCATACACATATACAACAAATTTCTAAGAAAATTTCCAAGACTGTAGGCATACTATCAAAGATACGGTACTATGTTCCACAGTCAGCCCTCCTGGCCCTATATCACTCTCTTATTTACCCCTATCTCACTACGGGAATTTGTGCATGGGGCTCAACAACAATTAACCATCTCAGACCACTAATTACCCAACAAAAGGCTGCAGTTAGAATGATAACAAATTCTCACTACAGGCAGCACACTCCACCAATATTCAATACACTAAACCTACTCACCATACAAAACATCCATACTTATTACTGCACCTATTACATACATAGAACACTTAACTCTGATATTAACCCTCCCCTCAAACATCTCCTTGCCAACCTCAACAGAACACATGACCATAACACAAGGCACAGATCACTCTTTGATGTTCCTCGTGTCCATCTCACACTATGCAAAAACTCAATGCACATAAAAGGCCCTAAAATCTGGAATTCATTACCTGTAAATATAAAAGAAACACTACCTGTTTATAAATTCAAGTCTCTTCTCAAAGATCACTTACTCACCCAAAACCAAATAAATACTGAATAACTGAACCTTATAAATTGTATATCTTAAATGTTTCTCACAATTATATCACATAAATGTTAAACCTAAAACCCAATCTAACTTTATTATTTTTTAAATACACTACCTAACAGAATACTCCATATGACTGAATGTACAACAATGCATGCAACCATATGACCTGTCTTTGTAATACTCATTTGTGCTTTATAGTTATCTGTTTACAATAATGTATTATCACTGATTTCATCATTGCTTAATTTTAAGCCAGCCCGAAATGCTATGCATAGTATAAGTGGCTTTGGCATGCTGCTCTTATCTGTATTTTTTTGTACCTCTGTATGTATGCTCAAATTGTTAATAAATAAATAAATAAATAAATAAATAAATTGGACTACCAAGTGTTGAAAAAGGTGTGCTTGTATTTTTCAGGAGTCCAGCTGTAGGTCGTCGAATGAGTGAGGGCAGCAACTCTATTAAGGATCACACAAGTGATGCTGAATGTGATCTGCGCTGGTGAGACACATACTACCCACCCTAAAATCAATAAAGGCCTCTATTGAGCACCAACATGGTAGTGAAAACTACTGTACATGACTAATGAGAACTGTAATGGGTAAATTATCATTATATAAAGAAACTCAAAGGTAAAAATCACATACCAAATCAACTTAAGTAAGTGACCTCTAGGCAAGATAAACATCAACACCCATCATAATAATGCTCTGTATACTCTAATTTTGCTAGTTTATCAAAATTGTTTATGCCACATTATTCATAGCTACCTGTGACAGGTGCTTGCATTATTAGCACCAGAGTTCCAACACCAAGCAGGCATTTATGATAAACTAGATTGTTAGCATGAATCTGTCTCCAAGATACTAAACAACTGAATGGTCTAATCATAAATGGTTATTGACTCCTATTACATTTTCTTAAATGATCTCTCTATTTTTATATCAAGAACAGAGATTCCATATTTAACCTAAAAGTACAGAAAGTGATAACAGAGAAATGAGAATGTGTGACAATAAAGAATCCCACTTGATCTGATGTCCTTAAAATATATTATTTTAACAAATATTGAAAAAAAAAAAAATTAAATATTAAAATTAGCATTACTGATATATAATGCTTTGTATACAGTATACAAACTTGCAGAATTAACATATACATACAATATGCATCAGTATTATTGAAATATTCTGACATCCTAATACAGTGGAACCTCGACTTAAGAGTTTAATTTGTTCCGTGACCTAGCTCGTAACTCAATTTGCTCGTATGTCAAATCAATTTTCCCCATTTAAATTAATTGAAATGCCATTAATCCATTCCAGTGGAATTCCTGCTCTTGGGAGGCAGGACAAAATACTTCAATATGACGCTAATATCAACTCTCTGGCTTATTTATCTATCAAAATTCATCTAATATGACATATTAAACAGTATACAGTGGACCCCCGCTTAACGATCACCTCCAAATGCGACCAATTATGTAAGTTATTATGTTTGTGCGTTTGTATGATGTTTGGGGGGTCTGAAAATGAAATAAATCTACTACAATATTCCTTATGGGGAAAAAATTCGGTCAGTACTGGCAAAACCCGAAATACTACTGGAAAGAAAAAAGTTCGTTAACCGGGGGTCCACTGTAATTAACATAAAAACATGATCTATACTCTAGAATGAATAAAATAGGCCAGTGGTGGCGGCGGCAAAGGCCATTCCCTCTCCCGCTCTGACTATATCTTCCCATGCTCTTATAAGAGAAAATGGAGTGTTTGTGAGATTAACTGCACTAGATCACTAGTTTCATAAGGAAAACACTAAAACAATGTATTTATAAATAAGAAATATTGTATAAAAACATAAAGCATCATAGAGAATGTAAAGAAATAAACTGTTTATATAAAGTGTGCTTACACACTTACCTTGGAGCAGATGCAGGCAGAGGTTGAGGGTGGGAGATAGGCAGAGCAGCGTAGGATGTCAGTGGCCCTATAAACCTCCAACAACAATGGAGGAGTTAGCTTCATTTCGTCCTTTTTCTATCACTTAATCGCTTAACTTACTTGCTACACTCTTAATGCTACACTTTATCGCTGAACTTAACTGCTACAATTTGTTTTACTTTTTTTTTTCACTTCACCCTTATCACTGACGTTCATTGCTACAACTTTATTGCCTTGCTTATTTGTCTGTGATGTCCATCTTTAATTTCCATGGAAATCATCGCGCTTTTTCTTCTCAGCACTGTCCTTTGCACTACTTTCTTAGAAAAAAGAAATTTTGCCAAATGACTGTAAAAAATGCAAGCAAAGCACAAGAGAAATGCTTCCACAGCGAGGAACACACGTACACTGCTCACTGGATGATTTGGCATTTCGCATCCACCAGCTGTGGCAGCATTCCGAATTCCTCCTTATAATTATTATGTATTATTATTATTATAATTATTATTATTATTAATTTAGGGGACCTAAGCTCGCTCATTATTATATTATTATTACAATATTATTATTAATTCAGGGAACCGGAGGACAATCCAATCCCTAGATCAAAGAACCCCCTCACCAGTGCCAAGGAACCTTGACACTGGTGAGGGGCTGGTGCTCCAGTTCCCTAAAAAAAAAAGAAAAAGAGGATTATTTCCATGGAATTAAAACATGAAATCATAGATTAACAAGCGAGTTGTGCAGGTTGTGGGTTGACGGGGAAGCGGGGAAGCTTGCTTGTAACTCGGATGTTGGTCCGTAACTCAGAGCAAAAAATCGACCAAGCTATGGCTCGTATCTCAAAAAACTCGTCTGTTGGGACACTTGTAAGTCGAGGTTCCATTGTATATAAATAATATATATTATTATTGATCTTTCTGCTACGTTTCTATTTCAGATATGTAAATAATAAATGAATAATTATCTTACACTAAAAAAATACCAGAATATAATGTGGGAACAGGCCTCAGTGTGCTTCCTCATACCAAGTGTTATGAATGAAACATAAAAATACCAACCCGTGATTCACATCCCAGCAGTTGCTTATCTATCTGTATGAGAAACTTAGTTTAGAGATCAGATTTATGAACAAGCTTAAAATATTTCATGGAATTTTACTTATATTATGACTAAACATTTATTACCGTATTATTATTGTGACAGCATTATCATCATTATATTACAGAGCATGAGGAATGAGAAGTAATCAGGTTTTAATCTGAGAAAGAGGAGACTAGCTAAAGTTCCTTGGATTAAGAGCATTTCACCAGCATCAGAGCACTCTCCCCTACTTCCTTCAAGGGTGTTCAGTATAAACCTCTATTATATGAATGCTAAATAATAGCAGCTACTGCTTTCTTGGGCAGATTCTGCCAGTTATGAAAGACGTAGACAGACAGTCATCGCTACAAATTTGGGAGGAGTTTACTATCCCTGAGGTTTCCATGAAAATTAAAGTCTTAATGGTACAAAATTATATCTTGCATAACATACTTTATCAGATTTGGGTTCATTTTTTGCTCGGGGACTATATTACTGTAATGTGGCTACTAATTGGTTATTCGTTGAACATCATAAGAAACAAAGTCAAGAAAAAGAGTTCGAGGTGGGGAAAGCCAATGAGGCTAGAGAAACAATGGTAATGAGTTAGGGAGGTCTGGCAGAGCGGTTGCTCTCCCTGAGCACATCGGTAACTTCTGCCCCGTGCCTTTTTCAGTCTACGTGTACCTTCCTGATTCTGTACACATTTTGAAGCACTTCAAAAATATGTCTGGAGATTTTCTTCAACTATAGAGCCATACAAGATAAGGCTATCAACAGAAGGTCAATGTCTAGAGGAATTTACCCATAATATAGAGTACTTATGAGGAAATCACACATTTTCTAACTAATTTAAATGGATATTTGAAATCAACTAAGCTTTACCACTGACTGTTATTCAAAAATAGAATTTGTTAGCTTTTAGTTGTCATTGCATTTGAAATCAACTTTCGATAAAAACATTTATATAAGCACAAAACAGCAAATATTACTATGAAATAACATGTTTTGACATCCAAAAATGTAACAATCATAACATTGCCTAAGACCTCAAAATTCACATTTTTTGGCACCTTTTGTATGTGCTTACTTCTGAAATTAGAACCAGACTGAGCCATTGCAAAAAAACACTGGATAACTGAATCTGTTTGCTGGTTGCTTATCAGTCAAGTAGCTGGATAATTGAGAACCGTAAATAAGGAAGCCAGCGAATTGTAGAGATGACTGTGTGCTGAATATGTTGTAACTTTGTTTATTCATGTCTAAACTCTGAAATAACTTTAAAAGTAATGGCAAATAATAATCAAAATGAAGAGGTTATGTTTTAAATAAGTAATTCCTTGAGAGATAAGCGATTGACTCATGGACTGATAAATTTAACCAATGAATAATGAGCCTTTAATTACTGGTGGTCGAAATCTCATGTTTGGTACTAGTTCGTCACTTATCAGCGACTAAATCAAACATTAGTTGTTGAATCGTTGATTACTTGAAAGATATGATATGCACTGCTGGTGAGTTTTATCATATCAGGCACTGTTGTTCGTTAGTGTCAGTTGCTGCCATCATATGCCTGGCACTGTCAAAAATAAAAGAAAACATTTGAAGAGGAAAGCAGACCACTACCTGCCGAAACTGCCTGATCAGCCAAGTTGTGATGGTTATGTGATCCTGTGGGACACTAGCAGCAACAGCCTGGTTGACCAGGTAGTCAACAAAGAGCATGGCCTATAATTGAGCTGCAGGTGTAGAAGGACCTAGAAACTAAACTAGTCACAGGTTTTGTTTTGTCTGGCCACAGGTAAACTGTTCTCTGGTTACATAACTTGTGACCCTCTGTCAGGCATTGAGCATAGGCACCTGATACGATTGTCTGAGGCCATTGATAATTTATGATCAGGACAGTAATCACTGATGACCCTCCCACAAGTACAACATATCCCAGAATTGTCCTACCTTTGTCTCCTTGCTCGTGAATCCATCTGTGATAATATGGCCAAATCTGTGAATGTTTTCAGCAGTTTACCTGCAGACTTATATAAATCATATACTTGGTATTAATATATATTAACTATATATTTGAAATTAGTTCTGTACATAAATCACACTTGGCATTGTTTCTGTAAATAATATTAAATACCTGGTGTTATGTCTGTACATGAATTATATCAATATATATCCATATACAATGTTTCCAGCATATGCTACAGCTGGTCAAAACTAAATTTTACCAAAAATTGTGGTCATGGGACACCTAAATACGTACTCAAAACCAGGCCCAAGACTTATAACGTGTTGAGATGTTTTCACTAATATAGGTGTTTATACTGTGGTATCTTTATACAGATAACTCATATCAACTTTCTGTTTGTATACCCTTGATGGATTTTCATAATAAATCCAAAATACATTATTGTTTAATTTTCCTTTTTAAAATGACAGTACCAGAAAATGACCAGTAAGCATATACAGTAGAGTGTCGTTTAACACGGTAGTTACATTCCTGAAAACGCTGTGTTAGACAAACTGAAAAACTTAGGGGAAAAATAGGGTTACGTTCGTGGGAGCCCCCAAAAAGCCAAACAACTTTTTTTAGATCTCCAGATCTTACAAAATAAAAGTGATTATGAATCGTAGTCTGCACGTCGTGGTTATTACCTGCTTAACCCTTAAACGGTCCAAACGTATGTATACGTTCACTCGCGTAGCGCCCCAAATTTTTTGAGAAAAAAATTATTTTTTTTTAATAGGAAAAAAGAGCATATGGTACCCAGGCGTCCTCAATTATTTTAATATAGCGCACAGTGAGTGCGCACACCCATTCTCTCATGTCTAGGTGACTCAGGCTTATCGTGGCAATGTTGAATGAATGACAAAGAAAACATATATATACGTTTGGGGCGCCACGCACGTGAACGTATATATACGTTTGGACCGTTCAAGGGTTAAGACTTCAAATGCAAGAGAAATAATATTTCTTACCTTAAATTGTTGGTAATGATGTTTGAGGATGATTGTGAAGAGAGTGGACATCGATGGTGTGGCCCTACTGGGCTGAGGTGGATGGTTGTTGGTTGTCGGCAGAAGTGAATGGTAGAGGTTCTGGTACTGAAGCCGATGGTTGTATTGGAGTGTGCATAAATTCTGTAATGGATCTCTGGGCTCTTTTACCCTGCGGTACTTTATACAGCTGCCGGTAAGGCATCATCAGCTGGTCTAGATCCTATTTCAAAGCACTGCTTCTAGATTTGTTAGGGTCCTCTTCAGTGAAAAAGTCTGCAAGTTTAGCAGCAATATAGAACTGCTCACATAACTGCTGCAATGTTTCACTTTTTTCTTCCGGTTGTTCTTCTTCTTCTTCTGTTATCTCCCTCCCTTGTATCTGTGCATCGAGCTTTACCAACATTTCCTATGAACTCCTGTCTTTATCATCATCATCATCATCTAAGAGCTAATTCACATCTTCAAAACCATCACCTGGTAATCTCCTTGCCAGCTGAACAATTTCCTGAACCTGACTCTCAAGCAAGGGAAAACCAGTGAAAGAATTAACTACAGAAGGCCATAACATTCCCCAGCCTGCATTTAATGTAGAGTGGGACACTTCATTCCATGCAATTCTAGCATAGCTGATGGCATCTGCAATATTAAATTTATTCCAGAAACTTGGTACTGCCAAGTTGGAGTCAGAGTCCATTCATGAAACTAGTTTTTTCATAACTATTTTTTGTGTAGTTACACTTGAATATGACCTTTAAAAACTCCCCAATCCAGTGGTTGTATTAGAGATGTTGTATTTAGAGGTAAAAATACAACTTTTACATGAGGGGTCATCCAGCAAAGCTTGTGGACAAGTATGGGAATTATTAAGAATGAAGAGAGCCTTGAATACAAGGTTCTTGTTGAGCAGGTAAAACGACTTCAGGAATAAAGTGATGTTTTTAAACAAGTCATCAAATATGTTTCCCTGTCATCCAATGCTGACTGGTTTGACCTCCAAATTACTGCAAGTGTTTTTTATCTACACGCTTTTTCAAAGCACAGGATTCTAGAGTATAAATAACCATGGGCTTACACTTCGAAACACCTAGCCGCATTATACCGTCAAAGGAGCAAGGTGAAGCAATCCTTTCTGTCTTGATGCCTGTGCAACTTTTCTCTTGCTGACTGATATAAGTTTGAAGTTGGAGTTGCATTTTCCAAGAAACACATGTCTCTCAGCATTAAAAACACTGATGAGAGAGTGGGTGTGGTGGGAGTGGATGGGTTTAGGGGGAGGTGTGGATCCGATAGGTCTCCCACGTTGACACAATGGATGTAACCCACTAACTCACAGACCATCCAGACCCTGACGGATGACCAGCGCTCAAAATTTTTTTCCTCTCCTGCAACGTGTTAAATTAATTTAACGACGTGTTAAACAAAAATATGCCACATATTCCTCCAATCGGCCATACAAAACATGCAAGACAAAATCGTGGTTAATCACAGTCTACTTAAACCTTATTCAAGCAGTCAATTACTGAAATTATCTTTGTTCTAACCAACCCACCCTCCCTACATTTTCTATCTCCCTCTCTCGCTCTCAGCACCTAGGCACTCTCCAACATTCACTATATAAAACATAACATATAAAAATTCCTTAATTGTTAATTACAGTATTTTATTCATAAAATTATCCAGTATCAATAGAATTGTGGTAGAATATGAAATACTGTACATATGAATAATCTTGAATCCTTGTACTTAATATATAGTAGAGACCCAAATAAACTGGTGGTTACAGTCCTGAAAACAGGCATTTTACATTCTCCTCAAAAGAAATCTTGGATCTGAAATGTGAAAAAAAAAATTGCAAGCGAACTGAGTGAACAATCAATATTTTTTTTCATAACAATTTAAAAAAAATTAACTGGCAACAGTCAGACATCTAGCATCACCCTGACTCTGATAAACATGACACAGAGGTAAAGTGCCCTCTCAGTAACCCACAGACCATGATAGAGGGAAATGTTGTCACACTCACAATTCACTCCTTTTGCCCTGCACAATCGTCTCTTTCCACCATCAACAGCAGCTTCTATCAATCACGAATGGTTGGTAAGTCCTTGTATGGAGGATAAGAGACTTGCATCACTCTCCTGGACCATGGAGACCCTGCAATGGATATTGCAGATAGACTGACTGCATTCCACAGTCTACTGAAATGCCAAGAACTACAAGATGATTGACTAGCTGCTGGAATTTAACCCCAGCACATACTGTACATTACATGGGTGAGGGAATATGGAGACAAGACAAACTAGTAAGAAGATTAAAAAGGTCTTTTTTTTTTTTATATACGCTGCCCATCTCCAGCCGAAGCATAGCGATCCAAAAACGAAAAACACTTTTACCACTATTCAACACTTTCACCATCATTTGGTAAAATTTGATTAGGTATTTACAAGAAGACATATCTACTTATAAGCTCGAATGGTCAAAGATGCCACTTTTTTAAAAAACAGTTTTAACATCGTGAAGTATGCCAAGTTTGCAAATTCTGTTTAAGAAAGGAGCATAGTAGCTAAATGAAGAAAGCATTCCCTACAGCAGAGGTCAGCAACTTACAGCCAGTGGGCTGGATCTGGCCCATAATGCGAAATACTCCGGCTCGCTGTCCCTAAGAGAAATATTATATCAACCCTACCCACAGCCTTTTTATTTTTGAAGGACTTCCATCATCTTTAATTCAAGACAAGCACAGAAAGTGAAATTTGGCAAAACTAGGATCAAGCTGCCCATTTTGATGACATCTTGCATCTGGCCTTTTCCAACCGTCTCCAAAAATAAAAAACAGTGAGACCCTCGACCAACGATATTAATCCACCTGAGAGCTCATTGTTAGTCAAAATATCGCTAGTTGAAAGTTAATTTTCCCCGTAAGAATAATGGAAATCAAATTAATCCTTCCCTGACACCCGAAAGTATTGACCAAAAAAATTTTTACCACATGAAATATTAATTTTAATACACACAAAACTGAAGAAGACATGTACATACATACACTTACCTGTTTATTGAAGATCTGGTGATGATTGATGGATGGAGGAGGGGAGTGTGGGGGAAGGTGTCAGTGTTTAGAATGGAATCCCCCGTCCATAGAACTTGAAGTGTCAATTCCTTTTTCCGGGGTTTACTTCCCTCTTCATTTAATGCCACTGAGGACCGCTTGAGAGTCACTGACCTCTGTCGCACAACATATCTGACCATAAGGCCTGTACTCCTGTTCCTGGATGACATGCCTAAAGTGTTTCACAACATTGGCAGTGTAATAGTCACCAGCACGGTTTTGCAATAGCTGTTGAGGGTGATTTTCCATCAAAAAAGGTTTGCACTTTTAAGAGACCACATTGCACACATTTTCCTTAATCTTCGAAGTAGCAATTCTTCAATTTCTCTGAATCCCCTCCTCCAGAGCAGTTTCCTCAGGTCTGGCCTCTTCCTGGTGAAGATGATCTTGCAACTCCTCAGTGTTGGTCTTCATTGTCCTCCCTCCACCAAACTCTTCCACATCCTCCCCACTAACCTCCAACACAAGGACTTCCTTTCCCAATGCCAACCAATGGATGCCTCAACTGCATCAACTTCTCAGGGTTAGCCCTCAATCCTTCAAAATCCCTTTTTGTCTACACATTCTAGCCACAGTTTCTTCCAAGCAGAGTTCAAGGTCCTCTTAGTCACTTCTTTCCAAGCCTTACCTATAATGTTTACACAATTGAGGATGCTAAAGTGATATCTCCAAAACTCTCTTAGAGTCAATTGACTTTCTGAGGTCACTACATTATTATTATAATCAAGGGGGAAGCGCTAAACCTCGATTATTATACAGCGCCTGGGGGGGGGGATGTGGAAGGCATTCAGGCTTAATTCGGGGAACTGGAGCACAGATCCAATTCCCTAAATCAAGAGCCCTTCACCAACACAAGGAAATCTTCCTTGAAGGTGTCAGGGCCACTACAAAGCACCTTTCAATACAGCTTTTTGTGTAGTGTTTTGAAGTTTGCAATGACCTGCTGGTCCCATGGGGCTGCAGGAGAGTGAGTGGTAATTGAAGGAGGCTAAACTTGAACCCTTGATGATGTGGCTTCATGATCCCCAGAAAGTCACTCTGCCAAGTCTGAAAGGATGACCAGGAGACATTGTTTTTAATTACCAGGAGGCACATAAGGTCCAATTTTTATTTTTCCAGGAGGTAATTTTTTCGACAGTGGGGCAAATGTATGGTGTAACCAGTCATAGTGACCAATGCCTTACTGTTTGCCCATCCACAAGCACACCACAAATTAGCCCTTGAGGACACAGTTTTTCCTGAACACTGATCTGGAGTTTCAGAGTGATACACCAATAAAAGGCTTCACTTTGCAATCAACCACTACATTAGCACAACATCAACAGAGTAAGCCTGTCTTGCATAGGCTTAAGTCTGGGAGTGCCTTTTCCTCCTGAGTAAGGTAGGTCCGCTTGGCATTTTCTTCCAAAACAGGCTGTTTCGTCACATTTAAACACTTGTTCA